TTTCTGTGAAATTTGTGATTACCTCTAATGTGAAGGAGAGAACCACATCAGACTTTGACAGCTGAACTTCATTTTCATCTCCTATGTCCAAGAATGCAGAATTCTGTGATCGCTTTAACTTCTGCAGTTTGAATTCTGGCCCACCTTTAGACACGGGCAGACTTTCCAAATTTGCCATCAGCAAATTCACTGAAGACCGCAGCTCTTCTATGTACATGTTCTCCATTTCTCTTGTTACAAATTTTGGGAATTTTCTTTCCTTGGAAAATATATTTTAAAAGTTAGAGCAGAAAAAAAAAATCCCACATTATTGATCACGTTAATTTGCTGACTTGCTTTCAGTTAAGAGACAATAAATAAAAATATAAGTCATAATTTCAGTATCTATCTATTTTTATGTCTTCAAAACAGTGATTGAAGGGCTTATCCTGACCCATAAATACAGTACAGTTAATTTTGGAAGGAAGAAATAAGGTAAAAATGGAACCTTGTACATTCTCCCTAAATCGTTTAACCATAAACCCAAGCTGAAGAACCACACATTAGGAATTTCTACTTACAGGTGTTTTAAGAACAGTAATTAATAATACACCTTTAATGTTACCTTCAATATTTCATAAAATGACATTTATAAAATGACCTGTCCACTAGCAGTTTTGTTACTTCACCTATTTCCCATGCTACCAAAAATAAGTCAATCACATTCATGCTTATAACTTAAAGCTAATAAACTACAACCATGACAAGAAATTCCTATCATTGTTTACCTTTATTTTTAATAATGGGTCATTCATTTTGAAAATAATGTTTACTTACTGTGCACTGGTTTGTTTTAAATAATAATCTCTCAAGAGACAATTTAAAAATCAATTGTTTTCCTCTAGAAGTTAGACAACAGCATTTAAATATTGTGTTTATAACAATGAACACAAAGAAGAAGCATATATAGACGTATAGTACATATATCAACTCATATAGAGCTAATTTTATGCACAGTTTCTCCAAATATTGAATTCTGGATGCTTAGGAGACTGTCATTCAAAATAAAACAAAACCACAAATTATTTTAAAATATACGTTTTACATATAAATGAGAAACAAACACCAATCCCAGGATACTGTCTGCAAAGACAGGCACCTTGCTCCTAAACCAGAGAATTTTTATTGTTATAAGACCTATCCTAAAATGTTTTATATTAAAACCTTTACAGTTGATTTTGTTTCAATAACCAAGCAAGTTGACTGTGACCAAAAATTCCTGCATCAATTTGTGTGGACTGGTTCATCACAGCATGACAGAGACAGTAAATGACATATTAAAAAGCCCCTAAAAAAACCCAAGTAATTTATAATTAGAGACTAAACAAACAGGCCAAAGCTCAGGGTTGTCTAGCAAAAAACCTCAAACCCTCAGTAGTGTTTTTCAAACTGTACTATATCCTGTGAGGATCATTCAAATAATAACATGCCCACACAGAAGACAAATAAAACAGACTGTTACTGTGCTCCTAAAAGATCTTTCCTCTTGCTAAAATGCTTTTTCCATCCAATGTAAAAAAATGAGGAAAATTGGACTTGCTGTTGAAGGAAATGTTGGATCACACAGGATATGCCTTTCCAGAACCAGGTTTTGCTTTCTCCCTACCCCAGTTGCCAGTCAATCTTCAGAGCAGAAAGAAATGCACCTGCCAGATTGTTTTCAAACATTCTTCTGCTTAATTTTAGAATCAGAAACAGGAAACACAGATTATGGATCATCCCACTCAATCTCATAAAATGATATGCTTTTATTTTATATGTTTTTGCTACAATAAAGCAATCACTTACCCTTGCCATTTGTTCTGCCAGTTGTAGTCGTCCATCTAGTTCACGCCTTATCTGTGCTGCTTGCTCATCTCCATTATCCAACTTGGATAGAGAACAAAAATAAATCCAA